CGCGCCGCCGCTCAACGGCCGTAACGGCCGCACCCTCTGCACCCGTTATTTCTCAGATGCATGCACGATAGGCCCCGTCTTTATTTCTTCTTTTTTTCTTTATTCATTTTTATCTCCCTCACAATGACCTTTCTCCATTTTTTTTTCTTTTTTCTTCTCACCAAACACAAGAGCTGCCCACGTTGCAGTTTCTGTTGGGCAGCCAAAGGGCAGACAATGTGACCGACGGTGTGGTGCTGTGACAAATCCCTTCATACTCCCTCCAGCTGAGCCAACCTGCACCGTGGGCCAAAGTGCCCTTGAGAGGTACCCGCTGCCCCTGGACCCCGGTGCCAAAGCAAGGGCTGTGAGGTGGCCAGCAGCCTCCTCTGGGGGGCTTGGAGACATCCCAGAGGGAAACACCTCCTGGTGTAAAAGCTTTTACCCTTCGGGGGCCGATAGCCAAGGGTGTATTAGCACCGATAAGCCCATCGCCAGACAGGCCCTCCATCACGCTGCATTTCTCTGCGATTACGGGAAGAAAACAAACACATTGAGCGTATCGGATGGCAGAAAGCACAGCAGGAGCTGCTTGCCCACCTGGCCTGACCACAGCACCCGTGTGGGCCCCGCAAAGGGAGCAGGTCCGCGGTGGCCCCAACGCTGTCACGCAGGGGGTGACACTGACCCTGCATGGAGCGTGGCTTCCCCAGCGCAGGAACGAGGTGTCAGTGCTGCTGCGTGTTAGTGTCGGGTTTTAAGACCAGCAACACCACCAAGCCTACTTTTTATGCTACTTAGTTGCCAATCACTGTTCCTTTTTTTTTTTTTTAAACAGTATGTGTTTTTCAGATTTAGGAAATAGCCCTGATCTCTCAAAATCAACCTCTGTTTAGACACGTTTCACTTTGGTCTGCTTTTCGCCTGCAGAATTACAGTCATTTTCACGTTATTATACAGTGAGTAGGAGACAGATTGTATTTAGCATGGAGTGGGGGAAGGGTTATTATGGGAAGTGATCTGCTACGGTCAGCACATAATTTCAGCCCAAAGAAAATTGCTTCTGAATAGCTGGTCTGTTAACTAGCCAAGGCATGGTCACTGGGAGAGCTTGCAAAAACGCCCCTGCTTTATCTGCATTACACCATCCTTTTAATTCCTCAAAGCAATGGTCAATGAAAGAGAAATTTTTTTTTTTTTTTTTTTTTGGCCACCACAACCGCAAATTCCCAGGCAAAACGTCTTCACAGGCGCATCCTTAGATCTCGATACCCAGAGGAGAGCCGCCCCTCTCCCTTCTGGCTTTTGCATATGTGTGTGTGCAGCGAAAGAGGCTGGGCAGCGTAGGATGGACACCGATTGTCAAAGAGGGGCTTTTATTTATCTATTCCCAGAAACTGCAGCAAGCCCAGGCATTGGCCTGAGGGTGCGCCTGGAGCAGTCTCCTCCCAAAAGCAGCTGCAAAAAGACCACTTAACTCATACTGCCCTCCGGTTGGGATGGAAACGGCCATGCTCCAAAAAGGAGCCAGCACCCCTTCTATGATATAGTGGCTGTTTTGCCTTCATTAATTTCTGCCTGTTCGCCAAATTAAATTACAACTTGGTGCTCGTGTACGTTTTACAAGACAGACAGAAGGCCAATAAATTAGTGATGTTTGTCTAAAATAGGAAATCTCTTTCTAATTAATGCAGCTGCAGACCGCTAGTAATGTCTAAGAAAAACTTAGTCTTTTTTTTTTTTTTCATTTATTTCCTTTTATCTTGCCAGACGTGTGCATAATATATGCTAAGAAGAATTACCAACAGCCAGCATCTATTTTTAGCAAAAGGAGTGTCTCGACACGAGGTAGGGACATGGTCATGGCTTCCTGGCGGAGGCTCTGCGAGGGCTCCCTGTCTCTCCTGGTGTCCCCACGGAAGGGGCCGAGCTGCAGGGCCCGGTGCCGAGTGC